ACCTCTCTTCTTTCTCGGGGTGTGAAGAACAACATCCAGGCACTGCCCGGAGGGACAAGAGGAAGATGCCCCCGGGGACCACATGAGCCAGGAGTTGGGAGAGTCCTACAGGGCTCAGTGCCCCCCTCGGTTCTCCGATCTTAAGTCTGTGTGACCTTGGGCCAGTCACTGTTCCTCTCGGTGGTGAAAGGAGGCAGGACAACTACATGCCAGTGCTTCCTGTTGTGCCTCTCCCTGGGGGCAAGTTAGAACCCCGGGGCCTCCGCCCGTATCGGGGCCTGGGGTCCTGCCTGGTGGTTTTACTAAGCTCTCCGACCGGATCTAGCACCACGCTCCGATTTCCTAACACCATGCTTGTCGTCATCATGGTCAGCTCTCTACTTACTGAGGACACTGCTCCAAGTCTATGGCGATCGGGGGTCCCAGAGTCCCTGCTGCCTCTTCCATCTTTGCTTTTAATGCCCTGTTGCTCCTCTTGGGAAGGTGTCTTTGAATCAGGAGTAACGGTCCCCAGGGTTACAACTCACTGAGCACGCACATGACACAGCTGTGAGCACGACCAGGGAGGCGCACAGGCTGGCATTGTCCCTGGAGCTGGGAACCCCCTTGCAGCAGGCTGGCTGCCCCAGCCCACAGGCCGCCAGGAGGCCCCCCTCCCTCCCTCTGTCCCTCCCTCCCGCCCCTCCCCGGGCAGGGCGGCCAAGCTGCCAGCTGCTAGCAAGGCCTATTGTTCAGCAGTGACAAGAAATGGCTGCAGCAGCTCAGGCGGGGGAGAGGCTGGAGCCAGGAAGGGGGAGGGGTGGGGCGAGCTGGGTGCAGTCTCCGGACGCAGACACCACCTCAGGGGGGTTGGCCTGCCGGCCTCAGGAGCCGGAGCACAAACAGCGCCCCCCCTCCATTCACCCTCCCCCCACCCACCACTTCTTTTCCACTCGTCTTCTCAGGGCGTGATTGCTGGTGGGAGTGCGCGCCACTGTTAGGTGCGTTGGTACGCGGAGCCAGGCCGCCTCTAGAAAAGGATTCAT